GGGCCGTGTGAGGGGACCCTGTCTCGGCCAGCCAGGGCTGTGTGAGGACCCTGCCTCTATAAGCAAACAAAGCAAATGGAAGTTCCTCACTGAGGAGTGACCATGAGAGCTAAACAAACCACCAGCTGCAGACCTGACCACTCGGCTGCTCTCCAGGCTGTCCTGGGAGGGCACCATCGGTAAGTGGGAGAGTCGCTATTTTTATCAATCCAGCATTGCCTGGAAACTGTGAAACCCAGAAACAGCCACAGACACAGATGGGACGAGCGTCTGGAAGCTCGGAGAGGGGCCTGGTGACACAGAACTTGCGCAGAGTCCTGCGTGCTTGCGTTCCACAGCGAGCGTGAGAGCCCACGGATGTTCTAGCACGCAGGGAAGTCGGCCGTGGCTGGAGTCACGGGACGGGCTTTGACCAAACATCGATCCCCCGGCAAGCGCTGGACGGCCCAGCAGTGGCCACAGGAAGGGCACAGCGCATGTGCAGTGCAGAGGAGAGGTCTGAGGTCACAGGGCCTCGGCCTGCACTGCAAACTCCTTCCCTTCTGGCGCTGAAGACGCGAGAGAGGAAGGATGTTTGTACGTGTGCGTGAGTATGTGTGTGTGGATGAGTGCAAATGTGAGCACCTGTGTGAGAGCGTGTGAATGTGCGAGTAGATGGACGAGGATGCGTGTGCATGTGAGGGTGCAAGTGTATGTGTGAGAGCGTAAGCACACGTGAGGGCGTGTATGTGTACATGTCCATAGGTGTGAGAATGCTCAAATTGAGTTTGTGTGCACATGGATATGTGCGAGAATGTTAGAATCATGTGCGTGTACATGTATGTTTATATGTACATATATGTTCCTATGTGTATGAATATGTGTTTGTGAGTGTGTGCATGTGTACACACTTGTGTGTCTGCACAACGAGAAGAATCAGTGGAGTGAAGGCCCCTGAGCCTCAGTTTCCTGAGTCTTCAGGTTCACTCTAACCCTTGCTATGCCTTGTGGAAGGGGCATTATAGGTTTGAGGCGGGTCTTGTACCCAGCTCAGGGCTACACAGCCACAACCAGCCTATTCAAGGTGAAGACTTCCAAGTTCAGGGTGTGCTTACGTGAATTAGAAACACCCAGGTACTGAGCGGGACAGGGAGCTCTCCCAGAGGTGAGTGGAGAGGGATGATTGGAGGGCCAGGCTGAGCACACGCCCAGAGAGCTATCCACAGAGGTCTCGGAATGAGCAGATGGAGCAAGAACACAGGGAGGAGGTGAAGGAGGAAGAGGAGGGTTAGGATGAGGAGGATGAAGAGAAGGATGAGGAGAAGGACCAGGAAGAGAAAGATGAGGATGAAGAGGAGGAGGAGCATGAGAAGGAGGAGAATGAGGAGGAGAAGGATGATGACGATGATGAGTCCTGGAAAGTTGGAGGCTCTGCTGGCTGCCAGGACCAGGACAGAAGGCCACAGTGTGCATCTGATAGACAAGAGACACTCAGGGAAAGACAGAAGGCCTGTGTAGGATGCCAGGGAAAGATGGTATCGCCTAGGATGCTTCTGTCTGTAAGTAGAGGCGGGTAGTGGCTGTGAGGGACAGTAACCAGATCCGGTTCTCCAAATGATGGAGAGGGGGTGACCGCAGAGCAGTTCTATTCAGGGAGCAGCGAGCTCTCGAGAGACCAGGAAGACGTGCAGCGAGGGTCAAGTTTGCTCTGAGAGAGGAGCGGCCCTTCCCTGTCTGCAGAAGATGCCTCAGCCAAGATGGAGGCAGCCATTCACTCTCTACCCGCCCACTCTACACAGACACAGGTGTGATGTGATGCTCTAGCATGGACTCTCTCACCACAGGCTCACATGTCTGGACACTTGCATCCCCTCCATGGCCCTGCGCTGGTTATGGAACCTTCAGGAGGCGGAGCCTCACTGGAAGAAGGGACTCATGGGAACAGGCCCTGGGAGAGATTCTGTGCTGCTTCCTGTCCACACTGCTTCCCAGAGATGGGAGCAGCTGCCTCACAGCTGCTGCTGTGCCCTCCATCCATGACAGACTGTACCCCTCCAACCTCGAGCCAAGAGACCCTCCCCCCTTCAGCCGCTGTCACAGGCCATGGCCCTGTGGAGAAACACTTCCTGAGAGC